GATTATAAGTACTATGAAGTGCTCAAGGAACCTTCTTCTTTTGAGCTACAGCTCAAAGATAACGAATTTAGAGCTTGAAATAAGCATGGAACGAACCTATTTTCATTCAACACCCTCAGAGCATAAATTTTTTTCCATAGGCTGCATGACTGATATTTTCAGTATATGATGTAACCATTACGGAGTGTTATGCATTTTAAGCATCTGGTGTTATGGGTTGTTTGAATCACATGAGATGTTATGCTCACATCTGTTCACACCGAACAAGAAGTTGGATAATTTGTCCCAAGCTTGCACGCAGGAGTATGGGTTATTTGCATTTTTTTTGCCAGAAACAGAAAGTCTACCTTTGAATATCTATACTTGATCGTTTTCTGTTTTTTAGGAGTTAGCTGGTATAGGCACCTAACCCAGCTAACATATGCCTTCAAGGACTATGGACAATTGCATATGTAAGTTTAAATCCCATAGAGAAGCAATTTGTGAAATGGTAAGGTAGTAACAATAGGAGATGTGACTGGACCTAAGTAGCGAAAGCATTTACGTATGAGATAAATGCTTTACGTTCCAAAAGCAAATGTTCATTGAGTTTCTTGACTACACATTTATAGAGGGTAGCAGTAATGGATTTAACAGGAAGATTGTCCAAATAGCAATGTAAGTTGACCCTGTTGCATGTGCAAGATGTTGGGGAGAAATCATTTTTGTCCAGAGGATGCAGGGCAATTCCTTGTTTTCAAAGAGTTTGCTAATAACTCAGTAATTGAATTAGAATATTGTTGAGTTTACATTTGGAGAATGTGTATTGGTGGTAGAGCAGTTTTTGTCACTAGGATCACGTTTGCAGAAAGGAGCGAGTATTCCCTGGTTGCAATTCAGTCTCTTTCAGGTCTATCGATCTTACTTTAAAGGTTTTAACAGCTGAGGATCTTTCATCTTTTAAATCCCTTTTCTAAAATAAAGCCATATGTGATTTGAAAGTGGACATTTAGCAGATTAGCCTTTTTGGTCATGATTCATTGAGGCTAACTTCGATTATATCGATAGGGGTCACTCAAATTCATGCATGGTGGATCATTGACCATGGTATCACTTATGAATTAGCAGGTATTTGAACTAAAAGGGCTGCAAAAAAGTCACCATGCATAGATTTAATACTTGTACTTCGGTTGCCATTAGGTTTATTTTTTTTCATAGTCACTAATAAGCATGTTTTGCGTCTTTATCCATATTACATTGTGTGTTCATGTGTGTCTGTCTTTATATTTAGTCAACCTGGAGAACTATATTATGCTTTGCCATGTTCTGTACCACACTTTTTTTTGTTTCCCCATCAAATGTTTGGACACCTTTTCGTTGACTGCAGGCCTTAGAAAAGAAATATGAAGAAAGAACTGGGCAGCCTACTCCAGAAAGAGTTGATGATTATGAAGGGATAAAGGTGGTTGCTGGTTTTTCTTAAACCTAATAAACTTTCAGATCCCATTACCGGTCAGATACTGCAGATTTTAACTCTACTTCATTAGTACCCTAGTTTTGTTTTCAGTATACAAAATCGCATCCGCGTTGGAGAGAATGATCAGTTCCCTTAACCAAGTAAAACTGTTCTGATTATAACAAGTGTTTTCAAGAATCATTGGTCATCTTTTCAAAAGTTGCAGCTTGGGCTAGTAGCTTGACCTAGCTTTATAATATTTTGTTAAATAGAATTACATATTGTATTAATTTTTATTTATTAAACTCTTCTTATCCTCTTTATGATACATGTGTAAATATATTCCAGCGTGGTAATGAAGTCCTTTCTGACTCCATAGTTACTGCCACTAAGATAAGATGCTAACTTGTTCATCTTGGTATATAAAATTGCATGTTCATCTAAGTTCTCCACCTATTACACTCACGTGTGCATGCATGTTGTGAGTTCCGATACTTGCGTGCATGCATGCACCTACATATGTGGAATAAAGGAACTGAGCTGCTGGCCTTCCAAAAAACTATGGTGGACTACCGTAATGAATGATGTCCAAACAACTCATCATGTTTTTGCTTTCTTTAGAGCATGTGGATGAGAAATGAGATAGGAAGACCTCTAATCTCTGAATTAAGTGGTCTCATTTGTTTGATTGTTGAAATATTGTTCATATTTCAACCACTAGTTACATACACGAACAAGTCTTCAAGCCCTTGTGAATATCAGCTACTGCAGGACGAAATTCCTTTCATCATGTCACACCCTGTTGATCTTCATCTCCTGGATATACACCAAAAAAATGATTTTTTAATCATGCGGTTTTCGATGAATCCAAGTCTCTTGATGCAAGGGCATGGAGATCATTAGTGCAGAAAAGTAAATATGGTTGGTCTAAGATAAAGTAAATAGAAGGACAAGATTGAAGTTTGCCACCAGTGCTGCCCGAGTAATGCTATCCTCAAGCCATACCCATAACCAACACGTATCCGTACGTGCACCGACACTTCTGGGACACTCGTTGAATATATGCATACTATTTATTTAGATTTGTACTCTGCAGTAACCCCTAAATAATTAAATATTTTCAAGTTTCTCATGACAAAAATTTCTTAGAAATGGAATTTTGATTGGGAGTTTCTGCAAATTTCACAGACATCTCTTGATACCTATTAAGCCCTCATCCAATTTAGGTTTAGTGGTTGAGGGAGCAAATGGGACGTGTCTCCCTCTTACCTCCCCATTAAAAGAAAATCACAATGTTACCATTTCCCATTTTCTTTCTCTACTGTTTGGTTGAATAGCTGGTGAGTTAGAGAGAGAGAGACAGAGGGAGAGAGAACAAGGAGAACTAGCTAGTTCTCAAAATCATGTCTCATACCAAGGTACAACCTAACCTCTGTGCTTCGCATAAATTAAATTTTATGTAGTTAGAAAAGTTGTCGATAGTCCTTCAAATTTAACGGGTTTGTGCTGTGATTTGATTTTATGGGCATGATTGGCAGCTTGTCAAACTGGCTTAGAAGCCTTTGCAACATGTGTGGCAAGTGACTTAGTTTGACTTATAAGCCCAAAAAAAAAGCTCCCCTAACCTAGCTTATTTTTTGGTGGCTTATAAGCCACATAGCTTCACCAACTAAATGTCAAGTTTACCCCTCAACATTTATGATAATTCCAAAGTCTAGTCAATGTTTAAAGTTAGAGTCCTGTCTTTTTGGTCATTTTGACAACTACGTTGGATTATAACCCATCCACTTGCCAATCACCCTCCTATTGAAAGCAACTTATAATCTAATTTTTTTACCAAACATTTTGGCTTATAATCCACTTGGCTTATAACTCATTTGTGGATTATAAGCCAAGTTCCTAAACATGCTCTAAGATTGTAATCTATGTATAGATTTCATTAGATTGTAATAGAAACGTAAAGAATTCCAGCAAGGACCTCGCTGCCGGCTACCCTTGGCCGCCAGAAAGTCCCCGCCATCGTCTGGCCAAACCTACGATTGAGGAAGGGGCAACTGAGAAAGGGGCCAGGGTGCAGCCTTTAAGGCTAAAGCCAAGGAAAGAGAACAAAAGAAAAAGGGAGCAAGAAAGGAATTGAGTAACAGAGAAGAGGGGAAAGAAGAAAAGGAGAATTTACCTTTCACCCCTCACCTTTCTGAAGTTTGTTAATTTAGCCTACGGCCCTGAAGTTCACTGAAATTGTGAACAGGTCCAGACTGAGTAAAGTAGGTTTATAAGAAGGAAAACTATGCAGTGTATGATGTTCCATATAGCTATACAAGTTTTATCTATGATCTTGACATCTGATCTCATAACTTTTTTATATGCTTTCAAATCTGTCTAGATGGACTGATTCATAATTACTAATTTAGAAATGATGATGGTTGAAGACAAAATAAGATCCTGCATGTAATAGCTTAAGCATTCTTAGATACCTGAGTATCGAAGATAGCAGTGATTGGATTGGGAATAGAAGTTTAGTGGTTGGCGTACAATGGTGGATATGAAGATGGTAGATACTGTAGGTTCTTGCATACTTCTGCTTGTTGAAATTTGAGTTTTATTCGGCTGCGGCAGGAGGGGGGGGGGGGGTTGAGGAGCGGGATGGGATGTCGGGGTCTAAGCCATTATTGTATTATTGGGCTTGGCTCACCGGATAGGATTATGTTGCTGTAATTTTTGCTTGATCAGCATCACCAATTACATTTATTTCTAATTTTTGACCTTATCTTTAGTGAATCTTTATCTGGAAATTTCCTCATTGTATGTGTGGCTGAGATGGTACAAGATGCTCTTACTCGTACCGCTTGATAAGTATTTCTTTGTTTTATCATTTTATTGATAGTGAGAGGCCTATCTTCATTAAATTTGGAGCAAGCTTGTCCTCATCTCCATTCACATATTGAAATGAAACACAAATGACCTTTGTACTTACTCATGTGACCTTGGTCTTGTCCCTTGCAATGTCCGATTATAATAGGATTAAAGAATACATAGTGAAGCAGCGAATGATTGCTAAGTGCTAAAGCAGGTTCACCACTAGCAGTTTCTAAGGCAGGCTAAATTCAAATAACTAATGTATAAATAGATCATTACAACATATATACATCAAGGTTAGAACTCGTAGTATTCACCTTTTTGTATATGTATCGGGAAATTTGTCATTTTCAGTAGTTCTGGATTGGAACTATCATGGGATAAGTCAGATTCAACGAAAAGCTTTCTATTCATTGATTTCTTTTTGTATTTTTCCAATATAAGGTTCTCAAATTAACTTTTAGTATTCGGAAGATAAAAGTTTCTTTTGTATTAGTCATTATCCAATATGGAGGTTCATTCAGGTCCAACTAAATCAGATGAGATGCTTTAAATCCAATACTATGATCGACAGTACACAATAATGCCTACAAATACCTTAAAACCTTGACCTACATGCATATATTTTGGCTCAAATATTAAATATAGAAAAATAGAAATGCCTTGAAACTATAGAATAGTACTATAGGTAGAAATCACAATACAAGATTGAATAATCAGATGTACATTGCAGTGGGAAAAAAAAGAAAAAGAACAATTCCACTTCCATCTTCCCTCGAACAAGATCAAAAACCAAAGAAATGAGTTTAAAAAGCCGTAGCTATGCTGATGTGAAGAACACAAACTGATATGATTTAATGATATGATATGATCAGTTTTGAAAATGTGAAACTGAAAGGATGAGATTTCAAAGCTCATAGAAAACAATTAGGACTGAATATTGAGTGTTTAGTGGGTTAGCAACCTCAAAATGGACCACTTTAACTTAACTTCTACTTCTATCTGCCATGGGTAAAGTTGTAGGGGACTCTGCCATGGGTAAAGTTGTAGGGGACTAGTGTTTAATATGCTATGGCAGTTCTATAACACAGATTTGAAATACTGTTGTTGTTTTTCTTTTTCTTCTTGGTGAACGGATAGGATTAAAGCTCACAAGCTCTAGCCTCATTTCCACACAGACACACCCGGTCCTGCAGTCCAGAAGGAAACAGCCCTCTTGCAGGTAGCATGATAAAACAAAATGATGTTGTAATGCAGACTGCAGACAACTATGTAATTATGCAGAAGCAAGAAATTCTTCTTTACATAAAAAAAAAGAAAAAGAAAACCCAACCCCCAACATAACCCCTACCTCTCACACACACGCACACGAAATTCTAGGTCGCAAACCCACTAACCCAAATCCTGTTTAATTGGTTCAGGCGTTGGTGTTAAAGTAATTATAACACTACAAGTAGGCATTATTATGAATCAAGCAAAATGCTGGCTCTATTGATCATGATGCATAGGCATGTATCTACACGCAATAACTCATGTATGCCCTGGTCGCTGGTACTAAGGGGTCGGAAATTCACGACCGCACTTATATACACTCTAAAACTTACATATCATCGTGACACAAAGTGTTGCTATCAGCATGTGTCATCACCAGATTGAATACGGTTGCTTGTTGGTTTACCATTCTGCAAGCAGAAGATAGGAGGAATTGTTGGAGTGAACAATTCCCCAAATGCCTGCCAGCAGAATGGGTCGTACATGTGGTATTGTTCTTGTATTGGCTTGAGTTCTATCTCTGACAGGCTAATATCTGAACAAGGAATGATGTCGCTGCAGGCAAAGTGCACTGGTTTGACAGTATAAGTCCCTCTGATGCTTTCATAACTAATGCCTGAAAGCGCCACTGCTGATGTTTGATTCATGCAAGTGCTTTTATCACAGTAAAACTGGTCGATAATTATAGGTGTCTGGACCTCATACATTCTGATGTTTGTGAATTTCACTCCCTGGACGGAGCCGGATCCGCCCTGCAATGGGAAATTCATGTGAGTGCAGTTATTCAAATTATGACTAGTTTGCTGTGCTCTGGGAACTGGTGTTACCTGCCAGGTTTTAATTCTGACACCAGTCATGGTATTATGAATGTCAATGTCTTGGACAGTAATGTTCGAAACACATGCCTTCGTGTGGTCCCTCCCAAGGCTTCCAATGCTGATTCCATGGCCAGGACCACAGTGAATGCTGTGTATTTTCACATCCGAGCATCCAGTTTGGATCGAAACGCAGTCATCACCTGTGAATTGTTGCAACGAACCAAAACGCTTGTGTCAACAAACAAAACAGATGCATTGGCATGTGATACCAGTTTGTCCAGTTCAATGTCACATATGCTTTACTGTTCTGTGGTGGGTATGTAATGCTGGAAAGGTGATATAACTGTCTTATTTGCTTATTTGTCGTTTTGTTTTCTTCTTTTTCCTGAACTAGCGTTTGAAATTCTTTTACTTTATCTTGCAGGCAATTAAGATGGATTACCGCAGGCAAGATCGACATGATGGATGGCGATGCTCCTTGAATTCTGGAGGTGAATTCCGTCGGTGTTGAGGCTGTTTCCTGGGGAAGAGACACTCATATTGTAGACCTGGACAGCTTCACAGTTATCGAACTTGAGGTGGCATTGTGGGCTGTTTTGGATCGTTATTCCGGTGACTGTTACATTATAACTTCCATAAAACCTTAGTGCCTGCCGAAGTGGTAATTAGAGAAAAGAGATCAGATTTTTTTTTCCCAATAGTCATGCTTATAAAGGTCAAAAGCTGTGTTACGTGACTCACTGTTGGTTTTATGCTTGGCATATTCCCGCTGAGCTCGGTGCTTATCTGCGAGCAAGCATTTATAGTAATTGAGATTTCTCGCAACATTTGAAGAGTTTTTTCAGTGGTACTACTTCGTTCATACTTACTGGTTCATCATCCCACTGTGAGTATGTCCACCAAACACTTCCCCTTCCTTCTATGACGCCTCGACCTTGAATTGTGATGCCTCTCAGTTTTGTGAACTCGAGCCATTGCAGCAACCCTGATCCCCAAGCCTTCGGGCTTGTTGGAGCAATGATAATCCCATCCAACTGTGAACAATAACGAGATAATGGCAACGTCAGTGCTAAAATCGGTCTATTGCTTATGACAATAAATCTTCTGTACCCTTGGTTGCAGAAAATTTTAAATCTGCGGTTACGATGCAAGGTATTTGTTTGCAACACTGTAGGGTTTCTCTATGACAATTTGAATCCATTAGGTGCCATCATAATGTAGTCTGGTGTTCATCAAGGGGATTACTAAATTTTTATTTTCTTCGCAGTCATAATTAACATGTAGAATTTCTCGAGGAAGGATGGACGAAGGAACGCACGTCAGGACCGCTTGTACATTTTGCCGGTAAGTTTCTTTCATTGTAAAAAGAGGACAATATATGGGCCTTCTACTGTATTATAATTAATACACGATGTGGTAATTTTAACTTGTGCATTTGAGTATACGATAATGTGAAAGAGCGGGTGAGGACAGAATGCTGCACATGAGCTTCTTTGGTTAAAATTTCATGTTTTTATTCCGTCTGAATCCAAATATTGGTCAATACACCTTGAAGGTAAACAAATATTATGAATCCCTTCACGGGATGTCGAAGTTAGCATAGAGAGAATTTAGAGAGTAGAGAGCCACCCGTGAATATGGTCAGATTCCTTGTTACATATTCAGACGTCAAATCAAAATCAATAAGATATTATGTGAACTATAGGCATTTTTTTTTATAATGAAGGTTAGGGCAGTAATACCTGAAATACAATATTTGGTTGGCAATAGGGTCCCGAGAAGGAGATGGGTCCCACAAGGAACTTATATCCCCATGGAACCAGCACTGTCGAGGCCGCCACTTTGCAAGCTGATGCCCATGCACCCTGGAATGCCTATAATCCGTAGTAAACAAATTGTTAATTTATAATAATTATTAAGACAACAAAATCCTGCAGAATTGTCTTCCCCCCGCCCCTCCAACGTAAATAATGTTATGTATATTATATATAGGAAAGATATGTATGAGACCCTATCTTTTATAAAAACCATATGTGTTACACGTGAATGGTTTGAATGGTGAAATTTATGGTTAGGTCGCAAAAAAGAATTTAAATCAGTGTTTTCTAACCTTTTCTTTTACTTTATAGAGAAAAGGTATACAAATCTCTTCTAGCTTTTAGTAAAAACATGAAGAAATTAGATCAATTGGTCTAAGTATTACACGTGACATAGCACATGACATGACATGTGACATCATTGTGAAAACAAAACCAAAAGATTAATTTAAAAAAAAATTAGTCTTGTGCTCTCTTACATAAAAATGTCCCTTCTTAAAAGTCTTTCAAGACCAAATAAAACTGGAAACTATTAATGAACATTTACCATATATTATTTACCCACAACATAATAAAATCTAACATGAACTTTTTCTTGCCTTTTCTCCCATGGATATTAGTTTTGTAATAACTATGTTGTCCTCTGTCTTCTTTACCAACTTTTGGACAAAGAGAAATGTTTCTCTTGTCCGCATTAACTGTAAATTATAAAAGTAACAAAAATTTGGAGAGAATTTAATTTTATAAATAATTCTGCAATTCCAATACATCCATCACTATATTATGAGATGGCCATTTATTATCGGTCTATTCACGTGTAGGCATGCACCTTAGTATCATCAGAGACTCCATTCCCCTTTGCTCCAAAATCAAGCACATTGAACATAACTGAGCGTGGAGAAGGTAGGTACCCTCCTTTCCCTGGTTTTGGACTCGGGCTTGGGTTCGGGTTTGGGGTTGGGGTTGGTTTTACTGGTTTGTGATCTGGGCTGGGCCGATTGATTGCTCCGCCCTTATGATGATGATGACCACCACCATTGCCAACCTTTCCCTTCGCTTTCTTCTTGGCCAAGGAAGCACTGGAAGCTCCTCTCCTCGGCCTCCAATGCCTTCCTTTCCTCGCCTCGCCAATGTCGATCCTTGAGCAGAGTACAAGAAGAGCAAGCATAAGCACAAGCCAAAACACTTTCAAACTCATATTTTCTCTATCACTAATTGAAAGAAAAATAATGAGAGAGAGGGAGAGAGAGAGAGGAATCTAATAACTTGTAAGAAAGGAGGGAAGATTGGGGTTTAAATAGGGTGCACAAAGCCTCCTCACACCCTTCGTGAAGGGCCCACCTTTGTCCATGTAAGCAACAAATTAAACAAGTTGTGGATTTGATAATTGGGGGGAAGGAATTTAGAGGTCTTAATCTTGGTGCCTAGTTGATGAATTTCTTTATCATCATGATCCATCTCATCCTTTTCTTTTTTAATTCAATACCGTACATTAATTACATCTCTTTTTCCAGCAGTCAGTTGTGACTTGTGACACACACGCCACCATCCCCTAAACATTCGATTTTACAACGTTACCACATAATTTGTGAGTAATGTCAATCCTATGAGGACTCATATATAAGTTGAAGAAAAAAAAAAAAATTAAAAACCTCTACTTTCGCATATCCGATGGTGAGTAATAATACATAGCTTAGTGTGTGTTCAGTAATAAACAATGAACAATCAAATATTATCTCCAAAATATGTATCCTTGACATCAGTTGCTGTACGTGATCCTGCAATAATACGTGATCTCTTAATTGGATATCAATGAACCACAACTCTCTCCCACTTGAAATATAAATACTGCTGAAGCTTAAGCTATATAAACAAAACTAACGATATTTTAAAGAAAATACTTATTAGCATTTTCTTCCAAATTATTATGACTTTTGTAAGGGACACGTGATTGGGATTTGTGTTGGGGGCCATTGGCATTGGAGAGCAGGCCGCGGTCATTAATGCTACAGCTCTCTCTCTCTCTCTCTCTCCCTCTCTCCCCCACCCTCACATGCAACCGTCACGGGTGTTAGTTTCCCTCATTTGTCGCCACCTAGCAACTGCCAAGCAAAGGCCAAGCAATATTTACGAAGAAAAGGAGTGAAGGGGATAAATACCCAAACAAGAAAGACAACGGAACAACTACTACACAATTTTGTACCTTCCACTTCTCCAACTACCATCTCGTAACCAAATTATCTACTCGGAAGATTAAAACCCCTAAAGAAATTTGTCATATTACAAAGTGGATTTTTTTTAAAAAGGCAGGTAGGGTAACCTAACCAGCCAAGTCCTCGACAACACTCTGTCTAAAAAACAAAGGGATATAAACAGATCAAAAACAAGAGTATAAACAGTCAACCGACTTAGCTAGGGAGTGAGCAACACCATTACTAGTGCGCCTTACATAAGAACATTTAGAGCAGCCAGTAATAGTCAGACCAACGCGAATTTCATCTGCAATAGGAGCCAAGGAAGCAGAAGGAGAAGGAAAGTCCACCAAGGAGACAACCTTTAGAGTCAATTTCCAACACTGAAATCCTCCAGTTCATACGCCGAACAAAGCGAAGGCCTTCCAGGACAGCCAAGAGCTCCACATGATCCACAGACATAGGACCCCTGATCCCCATAGAGTAGCAAACAATCACATGTCCATGGTGATCCCGAATAACACCTCCCAAACTAATAATATCTCCTTCCAAAGGAACAACAAAATCTGTGTTGAGCTTCAGCATACCAGGTAGGTGTGAGCACGGTTGGGTTCGGGTCGATTTTTACCAAAATTTGAACAATCGAACCGAACCACCTATAATTCAAAACCGAACCGAACCGTTGCAAATCGGTTCGGTGCGGTTTGGTTTGGTTTGTTCGGTTCTAACTTCATCAAGTATAACAATCAAAGGCACAAATATTGCTTGTCCCAAGAGTTTCGGTTTGTTCGGTTCTAACTTCATCAAGTATAACAATCAAAGGCACAAATATTGCTTGTCCCAAGAGTTTATATCCAGGCATCCAAGCAAATAAACACAGCAGCAAGTTGTTGACATTGATTTTTTAAAAGCAAACACAAAACTAGGTTGCCTTTGTTCATATAATATAACATCATGAATAATAGCAATTGAATCTAGAAGCAAGTGGGAATTAATATAACATCATGAAATAAGCTTCAGTACAAAGGAACAAAGGAACAAGCATATCAACTGATCACAAAAAAACCGTTTCTCCTCAGCTCGTTCTTTTTTAATCCTTTCAAGTTCAGCCAGTAGAGCTTCAGTGTCATCTTCGTCTTCATCATCGTCATCACTGATCACAAAAAAATGAGCTTCAGTACAAAGGAACAAGCATATCAACTGATAAGCTATTTACAAAAAATTGAAACAAATAGATAACATCAGAAGGTGAAAATAGATAGTCAAGGGATAATAATCAGGTTGACACACCTAAAAGGCTAAAACAGTAAGTTGTACAACTTTAAGCATATAGAACAAGTGAAGCAAACAGTACTATTACACTACAAGTTGTACAACGTTTTGGTCTTTGAAAAAAAATACCCAACAATTATTACCTGTGTTCTTCCATGAAAGCTCTTACAAATCCGTGATTGTCGGTTCAATTGAAAGCTTGCCCAAATCTGAAAGATAAACAAATAAAAAGTTAATAAAAATCAAATCATTTAACATACAAAAACATAAATGGTAAATACCTATGTCTAACTTCTCAAGAGCATCCAAATCTTCTTCAAAGCAAATTTTGCTCGAACCCGGCGTAGCCAACAAGTTTCGAAGCCAATCGGAAGTGCATACTAGGCTTTGTACCATTCTCGGAGTCAATGAGCTCCTAAATGGATCAAGTACTCGGCCACCTGTACTAAAAGCAGATTCAGAAGCAACTGTGGAGATTGGAATAGCCAATACATCACGAACCATCCGAGAGAGAATTGGGAACCTTGCACTATTAACTTTCCAATAAGCTAAAATATCAAAGTTACTTTGATCGGCTTCAACATCCTCGCTTAGAAATTTTTCCAACTCTGATTTTGCTTCGACACTTCCTTTTGCGGCTTTCAACCTTTTAAACTGACTTCTTACATCGGTTATTTGATTAACATCACCACTGTCAATATTATTAGATGAAGCACCAATTGATTGCTCACTAGCATTTATTTCAGTTCCATATTTAATCTTGTAGTCATTGAATAATGCAAATGCGGCATCTTTGATGAATTTTAACTTATCAACACTTTCTTTCTCACCATATGTAAGCTCAAGAATAAAAGTCACAAAATCTTCTTTATTTCGTGGATCTACAAGCGCCGCAATGTAAATCAACATGTTCGTCTTCTCCCAACTTCCCCAATACTTCTCATATTTATTTGCTATTTTATTAGCAATTCTAGCATATGATGCATCATCAGACAATCTCCATTTTTGCAAATCACAAGCAACATTACCAATTTCTTGAAGAAAAAAATTACTTGTCACATATGAGGAACCTGAAACAAGTAATGTTAGCTTGTAAAATTTTTCAAGCAAAATGCATAACCTTCTCACATTAACCCAATCATCCTCCAATGGCATTCCATGAGCTCCATTTCCATTACTTAGTTCAAATCTAAAGAAGGGATCCTCTTCACCATATCTTTCAAAAGCTTTTTCATATTTTTGAGCAATGTTCAACATCAAATAAGTGGAATTCCATCTAGTGCATACATCCAAACATAAAGATGAACCAAAGTCAATTTTTTCTAGTTCAATACAAGTTTTGAATTTAGCTAATCAAGATGGAGATTGCCTCACATATCTCACCGCCGAACGAACACGAGCAATGGAATCCCCCAAACCTTTGAGCCCATCACTAACAATAAGATTAACAATATGAGCAATGTATCTCATATGAAGATATTTCCCACCCAACATTGTGCCTCCCCAATTGTTGAATCTCTTTTTTAAGTATGTAATCATGGTATCATTTGAACTAGCATTATCAATCATGATGGTGAAAACATTCTCAATTTCCCAATCTAGTAAACCCTTCTTGACCACCTTCCCAAGATCATCTCCTTTATGACTTGAAATAGGACAAAAGTTTATTATTCTTTTGTTCAATTTCCAATCATTGTCAATCTAGTGTACCGTTAAACACATATAATTAATATTTTGAATGGAAGTCCAAGTATCGGTTGTTAGACACACCCTCTGACATGTAGCTTTCAATAAATTCTTCAATTTTTTTTTTCTTCAAGGTAAATTTCATAGCAATCTCTTTGGATTGTCCAACGAGAAGGAATATGAAATCAAGGGCAAGCGGTTGACATAAAATTTTTAAACCCTAAACCCTCTACTAACTTGAATGGAAGCTCGTCCAAAATGACAAAATAATTGAGGGCTTTTCTTATGGCTCCTTCATCATAACTCCAACTACCAAGGGTTCCCATTTTCGTACTAGATCCACTTTGTGAATCACGATTTGCCTGTAAATTTAATAACTTCTGTCGAGTGTCGACATTATGTGGATGCTTTTTGCAAGACTCCATGTGATTGCGAAGAGCTGTAGTACCATTTTTTTTACAATGTGCAAAATACATTTTTTCACAATACTTGCATTTTGCTTTTGGGTCACCATTTTTATCTTTAAACTTAGTAAAATGATCCCATACCTCCGATCTTTCTTTTATTGCTTTCCTTTTAGTCAAAGTCTGAGAGCCTTGTGTAGATTGATTAGAATCAACTTGACTTGCATTTACATTAGGATTCTCTTTTTGAGAAGCCTGTAGATTATTTCAACAATTCAACTGAATTAGGGTTTTTAACTTTTTAGCACACTAATATGTATAAAAGCAAAATTATGATTTTTATCAAAATTATGTACCACTACTAATAATATACAATCTTGTTCCTAAAATTGAAATTGCATCAATCTTGCTGCTACAGATATAAAGTATGAATCCACAACTTCCAGCAATGTACACCACATCATAATAAAGTATGAATCCAACAAGGCAACAACTTTCATGAAAACAACCATTATACAGTTATCACTTAAAACTGAAAATGTCATCATCTTTGTAATGTGAGAAGTGAGAACCAGACTGAAAGAGGGTATACACTCACTATACAGTTTAAAAAATTACAACAAAAACTATGAAGTGAGAACCAGACTGAAAGAGGGTATACACTCACTATACAGTTTAAAAAATTACAACAAAAACTATTTGAATGAAGATATGAAGGACAAATAG